TTTTCTTCTGTCAGCTTGAACTACCGTTGAGCTTCTTTAGTGAATTTTTCATTCTGATATTGCACAACTCCCAAATTTCCATTTAGTTCTTTTCTATCTCCTTGATATTTTCTTTTTGATGAGATACTGTCATCATACCTTCCTTTGCCTCTTTAGGCATAGTTTCCATTAGTTCTTTTGAATGTCCTTATAATGGCTGTTTTTATTAAAATACTTATTAAGTCAGGCCGGGCGCGGTGGCTCAAGCCTATAATCCCAGCACTGTTGGAGGCCGAGGCGGGTGGATCACGAGGTCAAGAGATCGAGACCATCCTGGTCAACAAGGTGAAACCCCGTCTCTACTAAAAAAAAAAAAAAAATACAAAAAGTTAGCTGGGCATGGTGGTGCGTGCCTGTAATCCCAGCTACTCAGGAGGCTGAGACAGGAGAAGTGCCTGAACACAGGAGGCAGAGGTTGCGGTGAGCCAAGATGGCGCCATTGCACTCCAGCCTGGGTAACAAGAGCGAAACTCCGTCTCAAAAACAAACAAACAAACAAACAAAATACTTATTAAGTCTGGCATCTGGGTCCTCTCACACTATTTCTGGTGCAAGCTTTTTCCCCCCCGTGTATGAAACATTTTCCTTTTTCTCTGCATGTCTCATAACTTTTTGTTGAAAACTGGATGTTTTAGATCACATACTGTAGGACGTCTAAACACTGATTCCAGCCACCCACTCACCTTCATTCCCTGAGGCTTGCTGTCATTGCTTGCTCCTTATTTTTGAAACAGGTCTCCCTGTTACCCAGGCGAGAGTGCAGTGGCGTGATCTTGGCTCACTCCAGCCTTGACCTGTCAGACTTATTCATTTGCCCACTGCAGCCTCTTGAGTAGCTGGGACTACAGGCACATGCCACCACACCTAGCTAATTTTTTTTTTTTTTTGGAGACAGAGTCTGGCACTGTTGCCCAGGCTGTAGTGCAGTGGCATGATCTCAGCTCACTGCCACTTCCATATCCTGGGTTCAAGCAATTCTCCTGCTTCAGCTTCCCAAGTAGCTGAGACTACAGGCACGTGCCACGATGTCCAGCTAATTTTTTTGTATTTTTAGTAGAGATGGTGTTTCACCATGTTGACCAGCATGGTCTCTATCTCCTGACCTCGTGATCCATCTGCCTTGGCCTCCCAAAGTGCTGGAATTACAGGCATGAACCACTGTGCCTGGCCATTTTATATATTTATTTATTTATTTATTTTTAAGAGATGGGGTTTCACCATGTTGCCCAGGCTGGTATTAAACTTTTGAGTTAAAGCAATCTTTCATTACTTGGCTGCACCAATTTAGTTAAGTTTATGTCTTCTTCAGTGTGAAGTCTCTAATTTCATTCCTTAAAAGGTGACGCTTTAGGTATCCACAGTCACCAGGTATAACAGTAGTTTCGGTTGGGCCTGGTGGCTCACGCCTATAATCCCAGCACTTTGTGAGGCTGAGGCAGGTGGATCAGAAAGTCAGGAGTTCAAGACCAGCATGGCCAACATGGTGAAACCCCATCTCTATTAAAAACACAAAAATTAGCTGGGCATGGTGGTGCCCACCTGTAATCCCAGCTACTCAGGAGGCTAAGTCAGGAGAATCACTTGAACCTGGGAGGTGGAGGTTGCAGTGAGCCAAGATCACAGCAAGGCACTACAGCCTGGGCTGCAGAACCAGACCGTCTCAAAAAAAAAAAAAACAAAACAAAACAGTGTTTTTAGCAGGACTGCCTTTGACTGCTTATTTTCCTGCGTTTGTTGGTATTACACTAGGCTGTTAGCCTCCAATTTCCAGTTGATTGCCCTATTGTTTTTGACAATGCCCTGACACACGAATTGCTCCACAGTGTGATCCTATTAAATTTGGGCCCCTTTGCAGGGGTTATTTTTTGAGGCTAGTTTTTGAAATCTGATCTGACCCCAGGAGGGACTTTCTTAACTGGGTCTTCCTCTGGTGTTCTCTGGTAAATTACTAGCCTACAATTTAGCTGTTGTGAAGCTACTAGCTTCCTCTTTTGCTTATGCTTACCACTCAATTCTCCAGTTTTCAAGAGCATCCTTAGGCTTGAACTTTCCCACACTGTTCTAAATTGTCATTTCCTTTGCAAATAGCTTCAGAGCTCTCTGTTCTTTTTTTTTTTTTTTTGAGACGGAGTTTCCCTCTTGTTACCCAGGCTGGAGTGCAATGGCATGATCTCGGCTCACCACAACCTCCGCCTCCTGGGTTCAGGCAATTCTCCTGCCTCAGCCTCCTGAGTAGCTGGGATTACAGGCACGAGCCACCATGCCCAGCTAATTTTTTGTATTTTTAGTAGAGACGGGGTTTCACCATGTTGACCAGGATGGTCTCAATCTCTTGACCTTGTGATCCACCTGCCTCGGCCTCCCAAAGTGCTGAGATTACAGACTTGAGCGCCCGGCAGCTCTCTGTTCTTATAACCTGCAACTCCCTTGGGAAAATTTTGAGCCATTGCTCTGGAGCTAGGAGTGAGGACAGTGGCCTGCTTCTCTGGGAGTTACATGCCTACTTTATGGGCTCAGTCAAGACAAGGGCCTCTGGTCTTCTTGGATACTTCTCCTGGCATAGAAAATCCACCTTGAGTGAGGTATGGAGAGGGTGATCAAAGACCCTGTGTCTTGGCCTGCTATACCTATGGTAGAGCCTCCACCTTGAGTGGAAGTTGGGGGTAGGGAGTCCCTGATCTTTTGGCTGGACACTCCTGGAATTTAGTCTCTGCAACACAAAGCTAGAAGGACATGAGAATACTGGTGACCAGCCTCTCCCTGGAAGATACCATAGCCCTTGATTGGGAATTGAGGAAGTACCATCTTCTTGATCACATCCAAGAATACTGAGTGGAGCTTCAGAGTAGAACTTCTATAGCACTAAGTTGGGATAGGGGGTTTGGTTAGGGACAAAATGGGTCATAGCCTAAATGCCACACTCAACGTTATTATGGAGATTTAGTAGACTTTCCTCATTTCATTTGCTATATTCCCTTAGGACAATTTGCAGAGACTTTAAATGGTTATTTAAAAAATATTTTTTCTTGCTAGTACACTCTGGAAGTCATTTTTCTATTAAATTCTTGTTTGTATTCTATAGTTTACCTCACCAAAAACTAAAACAATGAAGTTTATTTGTATCCCTTAGGACATTTTAAAAATAAAATTTTTATAGTCTCAAGACATAAAATACTTTGAATTTAAAGAGAACAAATAAAAATTCAACAGATTTTTAATTTAAAAAATATTTATCATTCAGAAAAATCTCAGTAGAATAAAGCTATATGGAAGGTTTAAAAAGACATAGAATTGTAAGAGAACGTTACCTTGAGCAAATTTTTCAATTACTTTTAAGTATAATAGTTTTGCTTATTTCCAAAACACTGTTGTTTCCTCTTCAATCTTTTTCTTTCACGTGAGTGATTGTACTTTAAAACACAAGACTATATAAAATCATAATGCCAAGCAACACTAGTTACCATCAGCCAAGAGCAATGTTCTTCACTTACTGGTCATCCAAATAACAGGAAGAGTAGTAACTAAGCAAGAAAATCTATTCTTTTTCTTTAAATGCTATTCAGAGTGGACTATCTTTTTAAAATTCTGGAACACAAATGGATTTTAAAATATATTATATTGCTTACTCCCAACTTTATAAAAGCTATGTGTTGGGTATGTGTACACATGTATACATATACATGTTGAGGTTCAAGTGATTCTCCTGCCTCAGCCTCCTGAGCAGCTGGGACTACAGGCATTCACTACCACGCCTGGCTAATTTTTGTATTTTTAGTAGAGATGGGGTTTCATTGTATTGGCCAGGCTGGTCTCAAACTCCTGACCTCAGGTGATCTGCCCACCTTTGCCTCCCAAAGTGCTGGGATTACAGACATGAGCCACCACGCCTGGCAACACATGTATACTTTCTTAGTACTAAAAGATGATCACGGAATATTAATGCAAGCTAAAAAGCCCCTATCATGTGAAACTTTCATTTGCCATCACCATTATTATTATACTTCTAAGAAAGAGATCATATAAATTACAGCTGAAAGAAAAAAAATCCCCTCATGTACTTGGATTTCCAAGTACAAAGTTTTGCTATGTTCTTACTGCAACAACAGAATTATTTTTAGTATACATAACTGGTATACAATTAGTAAACATTTAATTTACTCTTTAAAAACTTAAAACTTCAATTGGAATGTGATAAGCCAAGCAGCATTTCAAGTGACCTTTATATCTGCATTATAAGGCGGCATTAAAAGATTGAGACCATATCCCTGTATTTGTGTCAGACTGTTGCGCCATGCCTGAACAGAACCCATTTTTACCTTTACTTGGCAATGTTATAAACAATACAATAGACAATTCAAAAATAAGCACCTGCACCTCAAACTTCTGTTTAACTACTATAAATTATTTAAATGAAAGCAGTTGCTATACATGCTGCTTGCTCAGTTCTCTCCAAATGGGGATTTGTCTGTTGTGAAAAGAAAGTAGCTTGAGGTTAAATAATAATGCTAACATGCTAAGTAATTATGATTTTCATTTTTATAATCTAACCTGGATTCTTCGTTCTGGGACACACACACAGTATTTGTCTTTTGTGTAGAAGAGTATTTAGGTTGAAGGTATATACTTTTCAAGATATTTAGGAATAAACCTAAATATTCCTGAATACTTTCCAGAAATTGCTAGAAAGCTGACATATAAAACCAAACTTCTTGAATACTTTGTATCTCCTAAAAACAGTTATGAGTTCCATGAATAACCTGTAAGAGTCTTCCGATTGATTAGCATTAGTTCTAAATGATGTTATCAGACTATGTAACTTCAAGTAATTTTCTAATCATTATTTCTGTATTTGAGATACTGGTTCTTAAAACATGAAATCTCCATGAATCACAGTGCTATCCACTGGCAGCATGGCAGTGAATTACAATGAAAACCAGTTCTACAAAAGACACTTTGAACGTCATTGTTTCACACCTTTAATACTGTCTTAAAGGGTCTATTACTCTTCAACTATCTTAGTGTACTTTGAAATATAGAAGTAATAATTATCATTGGAACAGTAATTCTAAATCTAAATAGATAACTCCTATAGCAATATTTGTTTACTCAGAACATATTTTCATTTCAAATATATGTAAAATTTCTCACAAAGTCAGAACACAACTCACAGTTTGAACAGAAACCTCAGTGTTTAAATCTCAACATTCAGTAAAATAAACACTACACAGTAGGTTGCTTTTGAATATAAATCACTCATTTAAGTATATGGGATATAATTTCTAACTTGTGTTAAACGTGAAGAAATAATTGTTTTATGTGAAGCCCTGCCCCAAATCAGTCAAGTGCAAGATTATCATATGATACAAATCAAACTCCACTAACACAACACATTTGTCAGAGACTTGAAAGCAGATCTATAACTATAGTTGGGGAACTGAATATCCTAGAAAAAAGCATATCATAGATCAGGCCTCAGTTTTATTACTTCACTGCTAACAATGCCTTACTTTATTTATTGAAGAATGTTTCTTCCACTGAAAATACACTTCTAATTTTATAATGCTAGACAGTAGGAGAAAAACTAGGAGCCCATTTAAAAAAACAAAAAAAAATCCACTCTGATATGTAATGACTCTTTTCTGCTGTGTAGAGAATCAAATTTTTTTTTTCTTTTTAAGTACTGACTTGCCAGTTTATCGTTAATAACTGATTCAGAAAGATAAATGAACTTTGTGACTTTACATATGAGAATATGTACATATACATATATTCTGAGAAGTTATGTCCCATGATCTGACCCATACTTCTGATTTAAAATATAACTAGTTCTCTCAATAAAACAGTATTACGTTTTAAACTTAAATCACCCCTTTACTGCACTGTTCTCATTCTCTTTACTTTTTATTTTTACATTATTTCTATAAATACTAAAAAAAACCAAAAATCTCCAATCTTGAAACCAACTTAGAGGTCTGAGGTTAGCTTATAACTTTTAAAATATTTTGTTAAAATGTAAAAAACCTGAAACTACAAACAAAAATTTTTAATTTTATAGTATATATCGAATTCTTTTTAAAAAAATATTCTGAACTGTTTTTATATAAGTAACAAGTGTTATTTTTTTTTAAATGAAACTCCTCTACAGGCTAGAAGAGGATATGTGGTATTGCCCCATTAGAAATCAATACACATTTCATTTTATTACGCTGGTACTTCGACTATTTCAAAGTAGTCATTTGGTAGAATCACATAACCTCTTTCTGATACGTCGTCTTTCTCTTTCTGGAAGTGAACAACCTCCTTTAATTTTTCAAGCTGCCGTTCTTGCCTTCTACATCGCTGCTGTGCGGTCTTAAGCTTTTTTCTGAGTTTTTCAACTTGCTGTTCTAGCTGATGAATCCTTTTCCGCTGGTGCATTGTATCCTCCACAGTATAGTTGTGGTCACAGAAAACTGAGAGATTAACAGGGGTCTGAAGAGGTGGCATTAGTAATCCAATAGCAGCATCAACCTGGGAAACAGGAGGCGGTAAAGAAGGTGGAGGAAGCTGTTCTTGTGGCTCCAGAAGATCGTCTTTCTAAAACAAAAATACAGAGTATGTTTGAATTTATTACTAAAAAGTTTTTTAAAAAATCTGTGGACTGACTGGACACAGCGGCTCACACATGTAATTCTAGCACTTTGGGAGGAAGTGGCGGGCAGATCACCTGAGGTCAGGAGTTTGAGACCAGCCTGGCCAACATAGCAAAACCCCGTCTCTACTAAAAATATGAAAATTAGCTGGGCGTGGTGGTAGGTGCCTGTAATCACAGCTACTCAGGAGGCTGAGGCAGGAGAATCACTTGAATCCGGGAGGTGGAGGCTGCAGTGAGCCAAGACTGTGCCACTGCACTCCAGCCTGGGTGACAGAGACTCTGTCATAAAAATAAATAAATAAATAAATAAATAAAATAAAATAAAAGCAGCTGTGGAATTTAAGAAATGCCAATTTTTTTTTTTTTTGGGTCAATCAGTGGTATAGAAACGTTCCAAAGAAAGACATTTCAGTTTGAATAAACTTTTCTACCAGAAACAGAAGGACAATGCAAGAAATAAATAAAATGAATAATTAGATCTAATTAAATACTAAGCACTGAGGAGAAAAAATGCTTTGAAACTAAACTGTCACTGATAAAGAAAACCCATAACTTATCAATACATAACTGCTGGTACAGAGTGATTTTTAAATAAGTTACAAAGCTGGACTGAGTTTCTTAGTGTGAGGATATTTATCTTTAATAAACTACATTTTGGGTTTTTCAGAAGTGTATCACTGTTAACTACAAGGTTCCAGGTACATTTATTCTCTTAACACTAACTGAATTTTCAAAATTTTAATCAATGAACACGTTAATTTTATCAACAGAAAGCAACCCAATATTTTAAAACACATATTACCTTGTCATGTGGTTCAGTACAAAGAAATATCGTGGGCACAGCATTCTCTTTCAGTAACTTGTTGTTGCACTCCCTCTTAAAGCAGTCTGGAGTAAAGTGCTCTGAACAAATACTGCTATACTTGGTGGGTTTAAAGTTTTTTCTTCTGACAGCTGCCTCCCATTCTTTACAAAGACTGGGTCGAGTAAGAGGAAACCTAAGAAGAAGGCATAATTCAATTATCTGGCCTGATTTTTAAAAACAAATAAAGGCACCCAAACTTTCCAGTTTAGGAAAGATCTTATATTGGTATTAAAGATGTTACAATGGTATTATGATATTGGATTCAAGATTAGCTTTAGTTATCTATTTATCTCATCTATTTATTTATTTAGAGATGGAGTCTTGCCCTGCTGCCCAGGCTGAAGTGCAGTGTTACAATCTCAACTCACTGCAACCTCCGCCTCCTGGGTTCAAGCAATTCTCTACCTCAGCCTCCTGAGTAGCTGGGATTACAGGTGCCCTCCACCACGCCTGGCTAATTTTTGTATTTTTAGTAGAGACATGGTTTCACTATCTTGGTTAGGTTGGTCTTGAACTCCTGAACTTGTGATCCACCCACCTCCGCCTCCCAAAAGTGCTGGGATTACAGGTGTGAGCCACCGTGCCCAGCCTATGTCATTTATTAATGTTTCACTTTTTTTATACTGAGTTCACCAAAAGGCTCAAATATATACTATAGAATAAATGTGCCTCTGGCTCATGCCTATAATCACAGCACTCTGGGAGGCCAAGGTCCGAGGGACTGCTTGAGTTCAAGAGTTTGAGACTAGCCTGGGCAACATGGCAAAATCCTGTCTCTACAAAAAAAATACAAAAATTAACTGGGCATGGTGGTATGTGGCCAGGTACTCAGGAGGCTGAAATGGGAGGATCACTTGAGTCAGGGAGGTCAAGGCTGCAGTGAGCCAAGATTGTTCCACTGCACTCCAGCTTGGGTGACAGAGTCATACCCTGTCTCAAAAAGAAAAAAATAATCTGTCTTCTTATTTTTTACCAGGAATTTTCTGTGTGCTGCACAGAAAGACAAAGATTGCACATTTGTATCTATGTACTGGGAAAAAGAGGCTTCTATTCTAGTTCTCTTAGTATCAGTCTGACAAATATGAATAGGTTAAATTTGAATTAAATTAAAGGCAGGTAATGATAAAGAGAGAAAAGTATTTTCTAATCAACTGGGATGTCCATCAGGCTCAGGTAAAGGAGGATTAGTGAGAGTTTACATTCATTGTGTTTTACTCTTCCAAGTCAAGGATCTGGTAAATTGCGGGGATTAGGATTAAAAAAAAAAAAACAAAAGGGAAGGACATTTTGAATTTATGTTCCAGTTTCTCTTCCATGTTCGGTATGCTAGAGCCTGACTCTGCTATTAAGAGATCTTTATGAGAGTCCCTTTCCTTTGTACAACATAGCTCTCTCTACTGCTACTATGTAGAAGCTGGGAGAAGTGTTCCTGCTAAAGTATCTCAGCTGGAAATGGCCTCTATAGGTATAAACTATGGTAGCATTCACTGGTAAAATTCGGTATGCAGGGCCTCCTGTCTCAAGGACGATAAATTTACAGCTGTTTGTGATATTCTGTTAAGATCTTTCCCATCTACTCCCAACACTTGCTCTTTTAGATAAGGGATAAGGTGCAGGTTAGCCCTTCTTTTGATTCAATTCACATTTGTTTAACATCGAGCAGAAACACAGTGTTTTTTATTTTGGTTGTTTCTTGGTTTTTGTTGTTTGAGACAGAGTCTCCCTCTGTCACCAAGCTGGAGTGCAGCGCGAGATCTCAGCTCACTGCCACCTCCATATCCCGGGTTCAAGTGATTCCCCTGCCTCAGCCTCCCGAGTAGCTGGGATTACAGGCGTGCGCCACCACTCCCAGCTAATTTTTGTATTTTTAGTAGAGATAGGGTTTTGCCATGTTGGCCAGACTGGTCTCGAACTCCTGACCTCAGGTGATCCGCCCACCTTGGCCTCCCAAAGTGCTGGGATTACAGGCGTGAACCACCGCACCTGGCCAAAAACAGTTACTTCTGACTTGTGAATACCATCCTTAACTAGTTTCCAGTGCCAATGAAACATTTTCCATTTTAGATTCCTTCTGCCATGCCATCAGAAATGTGGGCTGGGGAGCTGCGCATGTAATCCTGTTACCATCGCTGACCTATTCCTACATTTTGAAAGAACATGTTTACAGAAATTCCAATTAAGTCAAGATATAATATTGGGACATCCTGAACGTGTTCTATCCCCTTCAGCAACATCATTACTCTGGAGACCTCTCTATGTTCTACCAGGCGTCCCCAAACTTTTTACACAGGGGGCCAGTTCACTGTCCCTCAGACCATTGGAGGGCCGCCACATGCTGTGCTCCTCTCACTGACCACCAATGAAGGAGGTGCTCCTTCCTGAAGCGCGGCGGGGGGCCGGATAAATGGCCTCAGGGGGCCGCATGCGGCCCGCTGGCTGTGTAGTCTGGGGATGCCTACGACACTCATTTCTATAGGGTCCATCTCACATGATATCTAACATTTAAAAAATGCATGGAAACTCCCCTAGTAAACATAGATGGCCCCACACCAAAATAAATAAATAAATAAAGACTATTTAACATTTTGCTTTTGTAATTATTTACCTAATTATAAAAGATAATTAGCTAATTACCTATGGCTAATTTGTATAGTTTACCCCTGGATCTGATTTCTTAGCTATCATCCGCATATAGTCTTGAGGAATTCTTGCAAAGAAAACTTAACATAAATGTAATTAAAATTCAGCTGAATGAAAATATTATGTCACATTTTACAAGCGTTTGATAGTAATTTCAACTTTGCACGTTTTTCCCATTTTCAAGAGAATATTTTTGATCCTAGCATTCTTAACTGCGCTATCTACTGGATAAAACAGCTCTGAAAGCTGTGGGGAGTTTCCTCCGCAAGGGCTTCCTCCACGCACATGTAAATGCCATGATAAACAAAGGTCAGTGTGAGCCATTTTATTATGATCCATGTTGCAACTGTCCATATTATCATTATTGTGTGCTGAAAAGACAACGACTTATCTTGGCAGTACCTGAAGGCTTCTCCAAAACTTAGGGTCCTTAAAGCTTAGGTCCTAGAGATTGGGGGTAAAAATTCTCCCTGATTTCCCAGACAAAAAATCAACCCTTAATTGCTACGATGCTGGCTTCCCATCCACCGTAAGGGCGGAAAAGGTAGTGATTTCTTCGTTTAAGGGCCTTTGTTTCTATTTCAAATTCACCCCAAAGACGTTATTACACCTGGCTGGTCTGTGCCCCTGGTGGTGGCAAAATGCCCGCCGCCCGAGGGATCGCCCGCGGGCTCCGCAGTCGTCAACCGAGGCCGCGAGCGAGGCCTGCACCCAGGGCCTGCTTCAGAAGCGCAAGAAACGGCCGCCACGGCGACGCGCGCCGAGAACGCGCAGCCGGGCGGCGGTTCCCCACGGGACGCGGTGGGAAACGCCCCGCGCGGCCGGCCCCAGACCCCGCCCGCCCCTCGCGCGGACACGCGCCTGGCTCCGCCCCCGGCCCCGCCGGCCGCGCGCCCCCACCCCGGCTGGGACCGGCCCCACGAGGCGCGCAGGGTCCTCACTTGTGGAAAGAAACGGGCTTGTCCTTGTCGTAGCGGTTCTTGCAGCCGTAGGCGGAGCAGGACTGCACCATCCTTCCGGTCCTCAGGCACTTCACTTCTGCCGCCGCAGAAGGCAGGGGAAGCTGCTTTCAGTGTCGCCGGGCTCGGTTGGACACCCTCGTTTCTTTTGTAGCTTTGGCCAACAGTTACAGTGACGGTGGCCTCCCTCGGAGGTGACTAGTGTGCCCGTTTTGTTGTTTGCATTAGCAGAAGGACCACAGTCATCGCCCGTCTCCCATCTCCAAGATGGCGGAGGCAGCTTCAACCTCACCTATCGCGAGGGGTGCGTCCTACTGTCTCTGATTACTCCGAGGTCAGAGGTAACCTTTCCTGGGAAGCTGACTATTGGCTGAAGCCAGGTGTTTCCGGCGGTGGCTTCGGAGTTGCGGAAGTGGGCGGAGCCCTAAGCTTCCGGCCGGAAGGAAGGGACTGCTTGGAGGAGGTGGTGCGGCAGGAGGCCGGATTCCAGGGGCCACCTCAAACCTCGGGCTCTTCCGTTGGATTAATTGATGTGGAGCTTTCCTGGGGCGGCTTAGAGTAGGAAACAACTGGGGCCTCTTGGAGAGCAGGTGTAAAGCCGAGGTCGTTGTCTGATTCCTCTCATTTTTTTAAAAGGGCGGGCACAGATGGTGTATGAGTAATAAAATTGTGGAACCTTTTCCCAGAATGCTGATCTTTATCCCATTGCCTGTCTCTTCAGGTATCACAAGGCTCTGTGAGAGCCAACGTGACAGGTTTTTAGGAATGAAAAAAGACACACCCACCAAATCATCTCAGTTGCCAAATACAGACGCATTATAATATGTATGTATGTATGTATATATATGTATGTATGCGTGTGTACATATATATATATAAAATTTAAAAATGGAGACTGTCTCCCCACGTTGCCTAGGCCGGTCTGGAACTCAAGCCCAAGGGATCCGGCCTCCCAGTGGCCTGGGATTACAGGAGTGAACCACCAGGCCCTCTCCAGAAGCTTTTATGAAGGGACGTCCATTGCTGTGATTTCCATGTGCTGTGTTGTAAATCGCAAGCTGCTGCAGCAACTTTTCACATCTGAGAGAGACTGTGTCAGAGGGGTTCTAAACTAGAACGACTCTGTTGAGTGAGGGCTAGGAAGATGAGGCTGAGACTTGCTGGGCTGCATTCCCGGAAAGTTAGGTATTCCTAGCCTCTAGATGTTTACAGTTAAGGCAACAGATTGATAATGTTTGCTAAACAGACCCGGACTTCCAAGTGTCCGGATATCCTGATATTTTGAAAACAGAAGCATTCCTAATTTTGCTTTAAAGATAATATTGGGTAGGGCGCAGGAGCTCAGGCCTGTAATCCCAGCACTTCGGAAGGTGGAGGTGGGCGGATCACCTGAGGCCAGGAGTTTGAAACCAGCCTGGCCAACATGGTGAAACCCTTCTCGTCTAAAAATACAACAGTTAGCCAAGTGTGGTGGCACATGCCTCAAGTCCCAGCTACTCTGGAGGCCAAGGCAGGAGAATCACTTGATCCTGCCGAGGTTGCTGTGAGCCATGTTTGTGGCACTGCACTCCAGCCTGGGTGACAGAGTGAGACTCTGTCTCATAAAGATGACATTGATTCCTACATAATATAGTAATTAATCATTTATCACACAAACCCTTGTAGCAGAGCACATCGCCCATGATCTTTTTTTATCCTGTATATAAACAAGTGTATCTTTTACTTTCAGGGACACTCTGCTCTCACTGTGGAGTAGCTGTACTTTCACCACTTTATGTTCTTAATAAACTTGCTTTTGCTTTGCACTGTGGACTCGCCCTGAATGCTTTCTTGCGCAAGATCCAAGAACCCTCTCTTGGGGTCTGGATTGGGATCCCTTTCTTGTAACAGTTTTACTTAATTCCCTGCTCCTTTTCTTTACATAGATCTGAGCCAGGCAAACCTGGAGGGCATACTTTTGAGTAATTCCTTGGCCCTTATTCCCTACCTTTCCTGCCCCCTTAAATGTTGGTGTTTCCCCAGGGTTCTATCCTCTAACTCCTAAACACCTGCTCCTTGAACTAAATCAAATGCCATGATTCTCTCATCTTTTATTTCCTTTGTATATCTGTTCTGCCTTCGGGATTATAATCTGTGAATTATCTGTTCAACAGTTGCCTAAACTAGAAGCCTTGGAATCATCTTGGAGTTTTTTCTCACCCATAAAACCCTTTGATGACTAGGTTAATTTTATAGACTAAATAAATAAAGTCCTCTTAAATCCATCCCTCTGTATGTCTCTTCACTGTTATTATTTTGTGAGAGGGAGTCTTGCTCTGTTGCCCAGGCTGGAATGCAATGGTGCGATCTTGGTTCACGCCGGCCTCCGCCTCCTGGGTTCAAGAGATTCTCCTGCTTCAGCCTCCTGAGTAGCTGGGATTACAGGGACTTACCACCATGGCCAGCTAATTTTTGTATTTTTGTAGAGATGGGTTTTCTCCATGTTGGCCAGGCTGGTTTTAAACTCCTGACCTCAGGTGATCCACCCGCTTCAACCTCCTAACGTGCTGGGATTACGGGTGTGAGCCACTGCACCTGGCCCTCACTGTTCTTTAACTATTTTTATTATTATGTTTAATAGAGATGAGGTCTCACTGTGTTGCCCAAGCTGGTCTCAAATTCCTACGTTTAAGCTATCTGCTGGCCTGAACCTCCCAAAGTCCTGGGACTCCAGGCATGAGCCACTATGCCTGGTCTCCTCACTGTTGTTGATCAAGCCCTCGTGGTCTTAACCTTGCAGCAACCCTTCAACTATCCTAGTCTCCAGTTTTACCTCTCTCCATTCTGTCTTCCATAGAAACTGCCACATCCCTGCTCATTATCTTTCCAAGGCTACCTGCTGCACTGAATAAAATCCAAACTTCTTATGGTGAGTTATAAAGCTCTTTAGGACCAGGTATTTCTTCCACCATAATTTCCTTCCACTTGTCTTTATCTCTGTTCTAGCTTTATGTCTTAGAGGGCAAGCTCTTTTGTGGCTTCTTTAAATAGGTTGTTTTCTTTGGCTTGAAATGCCCATCACTGACCTGTCTACCCTCAAGATGTGGTGTAATGGCCTGGCACAGTAACTCACACCTGTAATCCCAGCACTTTGAAAGGCCGAGGCAGGCGGATCTCGTGAGCCCAGGTGGTCAAGACAAGCCTAGGCAACATAGTGAGACCCTGTCTCTACGAAAAAAAATACAAAAATTAGCCAGGTGTGTTGGCATATACCTGTAGTCCCTGATACTTGGGAGGCTCAGGTGAGAGGATCCCTTGAACCCAGAAGGTCAAGGCTGCAGTGAGCTGTGGTCATGCCATTGTACTCCAACCTGAGCACACAGAATGAGACCCTGTCTCAAGCAAACAAACAATTGCCACGAGCTGGGTGTCAGGGCTCAGGAGGCTGAGGCATGAGGATCATTTGAGTCATGTTCAAGACCAGCCTGGATAACATAGTGAGACACTGTCTCTAATTTTTTTTTTTTTTTTTAGTTAGGCATGGTGGTACATGCCTGTAGTTCCAGCTACTTGGGAGGCTAAGGCAAGGGGGATCCCTTGAGTCCAGGAGTTTGAGGCTGTAGTGAGCTACGATCATAATAGAGTAGGATCCCGTCTCTAAATTTTATATACATACACACACAGATATGTATTGCTAAAAAAAAAAAAAAAAAAAAAAAAAAAAGGTAACGATCACCTGAGCCTTCAGCAAATGGTGATCGTTTTGCTGTTGGAGTGTCTTGCCTTGATGTTGATGGCTGCTGACTGATCATGGTGGTGGTTGCTGAAGCTGAAGTTGTGGTAAGTTCTCAAAATGAGACAACAATGGGCTGAGCCTGGTGGCTCACGCCTGTAATCCCAGCACTTTGGGAAGCCGAGGCGGATGAAGCACGAGGTCAAGAGATTGAGACCATCCTGGTCAACATGGTGAAACCCCGTCTCTACTAAAAATACAAAAATTGGCTGGGCATGGTGGTGCATGCCTAAAGTCCTAGCTACTCGGGAGGCTGAGGCAGGAGAATTGCTTGAACCCAGGAGGTGGAGGTTGCGGTGAGCCAAGATCGCGCCATTGCACTCTAGCCTGGGTAACAAGAATGAAACTCCGTCTCAAAAAAAAAAAAAAAAAAAAAGACATCACTGAAGTTTGCTGCATCGATTGACTCTTCCTTTCACTAAAGATTTCTCTGTAGATAGCATGGGGAGAAAGGCAGCAAATCACACTGCCATGTGTGTACCTAGCCAACAATCTTGCATGTTCTTCACATGTAACCCAAAACCTAAAATGCAATTTAAAAAAAAAGATTTCTCTGTAGCAAGTAACGCTGTTTAATAGCATTTTACTCACAGTAGAACTTCTTTCAGAATTGGAGTTAATCCTCTCAAACCCTGCCACTCTTTATCAACTAGGTTTATGTAATATTCAAAATATTCCAAATCCCTTGTTGTCTGTTCACAGCATCTTTACCAGTAGATTCCGTCTTCAGAAACTGCTTTCTTTGCTCATATATAAGAGGCAACTCCTCATCTGTTCAAGTTTTATCATGAAATTGCAGCAACTCAGTCATATCTTCAGAATCCACTTTTAATTCTAGTTCTCTTGCTGTTTCTATCACATCTGCAGTGACTTCTTCCACTGAAGTCTTGAACCCCTCAAAGTCATTCGTGAGGGTTAGAATCAACTTCTTCCAAACTCCTGTTAATGTTGATATTTTGTCCTTCCATGAATTATTGATGTTCTTCTTCAGGTCATCTAGAATGGCGAATCCTTTCCAGAAGGTTTTCAACCGACTTTGCCCATATACATCAGAGGAATCAGTATCTATGGCAGCTATAGGCTTACAAAATGTATTTATTAGGTAATAAAACTTGAAAGTCAAAATACTCCTTGATATATGGGACTGCAGGATGATGTTGTGTTATAGGCATGAAAACAACATTTATCTCCTTGTACATCTCCATTTGAGCTCTTGGGTGACCAGGTGCATTGCCAATGAGCAATATTATTTTGAAAGGAATCTTTTTTTCCGAACAGTAGTTATAACAATGGACTTAAACTTTTCAGTGAACCATGCTGTAAATAGATGTGCTATCATCCATGCTTTATTATTCCATTTATTGAGCACAGGCAGAGTAGATTTACCAACATTCTTAAGACTAATAGGATTTCTGAAATAGTAAATGAGCATTGGCTTCAACTTAAAGTCATCGGTTGCATCAGCCCTTAACAAGAGAGTCAGCCAGTCCTGTGAAGCTTTCACGCCAGACATTAAATTCTCCTTCTTGGCTACTAAAAGTACTACATGGCATCTTCTTCCAATAGAAGACTGATCTGTCTACAATGAAAATCTGCTGTTAGTGT